CACACACACACACACACAATTTTACTTTGGATGCGATCAATGGCGATTAATCGTATGTTTTAAACAACTCTCGATACTTTTGTATTTATAGCGGCGATGCTAATGGGAAGTGCAGAGACTTTAATTTATTGTTGTTAATTTATGTTTTGGGAGTGGGCGAGTGCCCAGCACATCAGTATTGTCAAAACACACCGATCTGGAGACAAAGAAGCCGGTTGTATATTTACATGATATATATGGTTTACTAGTGAATTTAAAGGTTTCCGATATATATTTAGGACCTTTTCCGTTATTTCATGTTTTTATAAACATGAGGATAAATCATTTTTTAATGACGTTTTATAAATCCAAAATATCATCTTTCATGTCAAATCTGGAGTCCTTGTCTAAAAAGATACACGAGTCAGAACGTGGTGTTCAGCTGGTGAGTATTTCAGCGTTTAATCATTCTTTAGTTATAGTGCCATTGACTTCAAAGGGTTTGCCGAATGAAGCCCCTCCAAGTCCTGAATCTACAAGAACGGTGTAGCTGAATAGAAATGCTTCTCCTCTGGATCTGCTGTAATAGACAGCGTTAAAGGACGTATTTCAATGCCACCTTTTCTTTCCAAATAAAGAGTATACTAAACCAAGTATGTTTTCATTTACTCCAACTTTTCCATCATGACACGCTGAGGACATTACGGATGACTATGGGAGCAAGTATCGGAAAAATAGCTCTGCTTTTCATGCTTTTTAAGAGTATGCATCAAAACTTTGGTGAGCACCATTTCAGTTATTATTTTCTGATAATAATACACATACATTGATGCAGTAATTTTGAAGTGCAAGCCATGCACTTGGTTTTCAGAGAAGTAGAACTACCTTAAAGTATTTGTTGGCAATACAGTTTGACACTGTGTAGTAGTTTAGTAATTCTGACAGCAGAAAATGAATTAGAAATGTTTATGCCTGTACGCACATCAATACAGTTTAACCAGATACTAAGTTTTATTTTATTTAGATTCAGTGTAAATAAGACTTTCTTTACATTTCATTAACAAAAATTATAGGCTATATATATATATATATATTACAACTAAAAGGTTAAAAGATCATATGTGAATGTTAGGAATTATCAGATGGGTGGATAGATGGCTTGATAGATGAATGGATGGATAGATAGATGATGGATGGATGATAGATAGATGATAGATGAATGGATGGATAGATGGATGATAGATTGATGGATGGATAGATAGATGATGGATGGATAGATGGGTGATGGATGGATGGATAGATTGATGGATGGATG